CTGGTGCTTGCTAGACAAGTGCTCTCTGCCACTTGAACCACAACCTCTACCTTACCCCAGTTTTTTTTTTCCCCCTTTGGTTGTGGGGCTTGAACTCTGGGCCTAGGCGCTGTCCCTCAGCTCTTCTGCCCAAGGCTAGTGCTCTACCACTTTGAGCCACAGCACCACTTCCGGTTTTCTGGTAGTTAATTGGAGATAAGAGTCTCACAGACTTACCTGTCCAGACTGGCTTTGAAGCATGATCCTCCTATCTTAGCCTCCCAAGTAGGTAGGATTACAGACATGAGCCACCTGTGCCCAGCCACCCCAGCTCTCTTTTGGTTTTGTTCTTTTTCAAATAGAGTCTTACACTTTTGAAAGTCTAGTGTTAGACTAAGGTCCTCCTTCCAAGTAGTTGGGATTACAGGCATGCACCACCACACCCAACTAGTATGACTTTTTGAACCCTACTTTTGATGTGAGGTGTGAAGGATGGGGGTTTTACAGGGCCCCAGGGCTGTCTGTGAAGGAGCTGGGCAGCCCATGCTTTCCCCACTCAGTTGAATCTGTCATTTGAGAAGCTTTCCTGGAGTGGAGCCCTGACTGCAGTTCTTTCTGGGTTCAGTGTGGACCCCGAGTCTCTATGGCCCAGTAGAGTCGTGCATTCCTGAGATCCCTCCTTTTGCCTACCAGCCCCCTTTCCTGCCCCTCACTGAGGCTGGGAAGCTCAGAGCCCCTTACCAAGTCCTGTAGTGGCCAGCCTCTTTTGTCTACGTCCCAGTGGGCCACAAGTCTGCCTTTGTCAACTCACCATCACGTGGGACCGTGCCAGGAGGGGCTGGCTAGCATTCTGCCTGTAGATGAGACAAGCCCCCAGAAGTCTGCCTGCACCCTAAGCTCCCACAGACAGAGCTGGCATGAATGCAGCAGCCTGCACTGTCACAAACCCACTGTGGTGAAGACAGTCCCCAGGAGACAGCTGCTCATGTCAAGAGAGATTGCCCATTCATTCTTTGTCTGTAGACGCTTGCTGAGGCCTGAACTGTGTCAGGCCTTCCATGGTGGGAGACTTGTGCTAGGAGATGGGGAGTTTTACCCTTGTAGGGCAACTAGATGTGAAGGAAGCCAGGCATGGTGGCTCACACTTGTAAGCTTAGTTACTTAGGAAGTTGAGATCTGGAGGAAACAAGATGGAGGCCACCCTGGGCAAAAAGTTAGTAAGACTCCCAATCTCAACCAATAGCCGGGTGTAATGGTGTGTGCCTGTCATTGCAGCTATGTGGAAGGTTGAGATCATGGTTCTAGGCCAGCTGGGGCCAAAAAGTTTATGGCACTCCATCTCAAGGGAGGCTGAGTTTACGTAAGGGTACATACCTGTCATCACAGCTACTGTGGGAAGTACAAAACAGGGAATCAAGATTCAGGTAGACTGGGCAAAACATGAGATCCTATTTTGAAAATAAGTGGCACAAAAGGGCTAGAGATTTGGCTTAGTGATAGAACACCTGCCCAGCAAGCCTAAGGTCTCGAGTTCAACCCAGCACTGCCAAAACAATGCAAATGAAATGACAACAAGATAGAAAGAACTGGTTCACATCAAAATAACTTGGGAGAGAGCCTACCTTAAGAGTTTCTGGTTCAGGGGCTGGGAAGGTGGCTCAGTGGTAGAGCGCTTGCCTTGCATGCCTGAGGCTCTGGGTTCGATTCCTCAGCACCACATAAGCAAAAAGAAAAAAAGCCGGAAGTGGCGCTGTGGCTCAAGTGGTAGAGCGCTAGCCTTGAGCTGAAGAGCTGAGGGACAGCGCCCAGGCCCAGAGTTCAAGCCCCAGGACTGGACCCCCCCCCCCAAAAAAAAAAAAGAGTTTCTATTCTAGTTCAGTAGTCTAGATGGGGATGTGAGAAATTCTAACAGGCTTTCCAGTGATTTTTTTTTTTTTTGGTCAGTTGTGGGGCTTGAACTCTGGGCTTGGGCACTGTCCCTGCGCTCTTTAGCTCAAGGCGAGCACTCTACCACTTGAGCCATAGCGCCACTTCCTGTTTTCTAGTGGTTTATTGGAGATGAGTCTCACGGACTTTTGTGCCCGGGCTGGCTTTGAAGCACGATCCTCAGATCTCAGCCTCCTCAGTAGCTAGGATTACAGGAGTGAGCCACTGGTACCCGGCTTCCAGTAATGTTAATACTGTTTTAGTGACACTGAGAATCTTTCCCTCCCTCCCTCCCTCCTTCCCTCCCTCCCTCTCTTCCTACCTTCCTTCCTTCCTTCCTTCCTTCCTTCTGCTGGGGATGGAGCCTAGGACCTTATGCATGCTTAGGGAATCTCTCACTACTAAGCTTCATCCCAAGGCTCAGGAACCACACTTTGAGTGCTACTGTAATTCAGGACCAGGTTGTGATTGATATCTTGAATCCCCAGCATTAGGGAGGCAGAGGCAGGAAGATATAAGTTCAAGGTTAACCTAGACTATATAGCAATATCCTGTCTCCATTAAACAACTAAAGAAACTTTGTATGATTGTGTCTCGTTTTTATGAGTAGAAGTCAGTTATTTAAAAGCTAACTTGTGGTTCCCAGTGCTCCGGGTGTGGTCCTGTGAGGAGTATGTCACCATCTATGACCTAAACTTCATACATCTGTTAATGTAGCCAGCATCATGTATGTCTCTACCACTTGTATGTCTCTACCACTCCCCTCAAGCTTATTCTGAACTTGAGATCCACTTAGAACTCCAACTCCTTCCTCACTATTGGAGCCTATTAGACTAACTGCAGGGATATGAGTGAGCTGCACAGCTGAATTTGGACCCAGGCCCATGTGACCAAGCCTGGCTTGAAGTCAGCCATGGGCCTGCACTTCCTTGAGTGTTGGTCCTTCAAGCTTCCTTGAATTGGTGTGGGACCCCTCTCTTCCTCATTTCTCTCATTGGTGTGATCATTTTCTGCCCCACTTCCTCTTTTTCCACTTCTAGTCTGACCACTTGGTGTGGATGGTGACTCAGTGTATTTTGGGATTTGGTGGGGGTGCATCCTGGTGACTGACCACATCATCCATTTTGAATGTACAGCTGTAATCCCCCCCTCCTTCCAGTGGCTGTAGTGTCAAGTGAGGAAGGAATAAGCCCATTAAACTACTGGATGGGTAGACTTGCTTCCTAGCTGCTTATAACCTGCCTGGAGGCACTGCTTCCAGCCAGGCCTGTGAATCAGACCCAAGGCCACGCCCCCTTCCCACTGTGAGCCACCCTAGCTGGCCCCAGCCTGCCCTTGCCTGCAGGCAAGCAGGTGTGAAGCGAGGACCCTGCTGAGTTAGCAGATTGCCCGAGTGGGGGGGAAGAGAGGGAGAGAGAGAGAGCTTAGTGAGTTTAGAACATCCTTCCTGGAGTTGAGGGAGCTTAAGGATGTATAAGGACAAGAGACTCCACCTCCTAGACCCTTAATTCTCATTTTCTTGGGGGAAATTTGAACTTGGAGGCTAGAGACCAGCACTTACTATCTTGTTTCCCCTCCCATTAGCCTCTGGGCTTTGCATGCACTGTTCCTGGCACTTTTTTTCCCTCAGCTTAAATGTCCCTTCTTTAGGAATGGCCTCCCTGATCATGTCTCCTAACATAGCACTTTTCTCTCATTTGTAGCATTATCCACATTGCTGTGGTTTTTATTTTGTTTTTGCTGTCATGACACTTAATAGGAACTGCATTAACGTGTGTGTCTATTTGTTTGCTCTGTATTTTGACAGTGAAGCTTGAGGCAGAATATCTAGAAGGGATTGATTACCATTGTGCCCCTGCCTGTGCTTAGGATAAGGTCTAGGGCATAGAGGGCACTCATAAATATTTATTGAGTGTTTCTACAGTGTGTTTCCTATATTTGCTATAATGAGTCACCATGAAGTGGCTATGTCAGCTTTTCATCACTGACAAAAGTTAAGAGAAAGGGTTATTTTGGCTCATGGCTTAAGAGGTTTCAGTCCATAGTTGCTTGGCCCACTCACATTGTACTCATGGTGTGGCAGATTATCATGGCAGGGAAAGGGCAGCAGAGGAGGCTGCTCTTCTCATGGTGGCCAGGAAGGAGGGAGAGAGGCTGAGAGGCTCCCTGGTTCTAATGACCCACCATCTTCACTACCTGCCTCAACTCCTAAAGCACCCATTTCCAGTTTTGCCACAGGTTGACAACCAAGCCTTTAGCATGTGGCCTGTGGGAGACCTTCAAGACCCAGACTGAGAAAGTGGGTTAACTCGATTATCCCCCAATTCTGGAGGTCAGAAGTCTGCAAAGCAAGGTGTTGGCAGGGTTATATTCCTCCTGGAGGCTTTAGGGAGAACTCTTTTTTTCTGTCCTTTTCCAGTTTCTGGAGGCTGCTCACATTCCTGGGCTCATGGACCCTTCTTCACCTGCAGAACATCACAGCCCTTGCTTCCTCCTCACACTGCCTGCCTCCACTTGCCTCCCTCCCTTCTCCTCTCCCTGTCTTCTCCTTCCCTCCTCTCCCCTCTTTCTTTTTTCTTTTTTGCTGGTCCTGGGGCTTGAAGTCTGGGCTTGGGTGCTGTCCCTGAGCTTCTTTTTGCTCAAGGCTAGTGCTCTACCATTTTTAGCCACAGCGCCACTTCCAGCTTTTTCTGTGATTAATTGGAAATAAGAGTCTAACAGACTTTCCTGCTTGGGCTAGTTTTGAACCTCAATCCTCAGATCTCAGCCTCCTGAGTAGCTAGGATTACAGGTGTAAGCCACTGGCACCTGGCTTTGTGTCCCTTTTCTGAGGACCCTGGAGATGAAATTGGGCTCACCCAGATAATTCCTTCCCTTAAGATACTTAAGCACATCTGCCAAGTCTCCATTATCATGTAAGGCATGTATTCATTCATGTTAAGACATGATTCTGGGAGTTTAGGTATGGACATCTTTGGGGTCTGTTATCCATCCTACTATTCTTAGAACCCTGGGTACTGGCTCATGTAGGGTGTGGCCACTGTCTTGGAGCCCAGGGACCTGACTACTTCTTCCCCCTGTAGGACGAGATTGAGGAGCTGCGGGCAGAGATGCTGGAGATGCGGGACGTCTACATGGAGGAGGATGTGTACCAGCTGCAGGAGCTGCGGCAGCAGTTGGACCAGGCCAGCAAGACCTGCCGCATCCTGCAGTACCGGCTTCGCAAAGCTGAGCGCCGCAGCCTCCGTGCTGCCCAGACTGGCCAGGTGGATGGTGAACTCATCCGAGGGCTGGAGCAGGATGTCAAGGTCAGCCTGGGGTCCTCGGCAAACCTTCACAGGTGCCCTGGCTTGGGGATGGGGCCAGGAACCCTAGTGGGGGCTCAGTTCAGGTCTGTGGCTCACTTTGTGTATCCAGTTACACTACCTATCTAGTCCCCAGTTTCCCTGCTTGCAAAGTGAGTGTTCCTGGTGAATGCACAGGCCTTCTACCAGAGGCACCCCAAGGTGCTATCATAATCTGAAACCCACTAACAGCAGATACCTCTTGCTGGCTGCTAGATGTTGGGTTTCCATTATCCCTGCATAGTTCTGAGCTTTCTTGGACTAACGAGAGTGGTAAAGGTCTATTGCTGCACAGGGCTGGCTTACACTCGTCTTCAGTATGCCCAGATTTTGTGCAAAGTCCTTATGTTTGTTTGCTCATCTGTAAAATGAGTGTGAAAACAGCTTGTTCTACATAATGTAGAAAAAAAGTTAGCTATTATTTCCATTTTCTAGATGTAATCTGAGGCACCTCACCAAGGTCAGCGGGAATCCTCATGTAGATGGCAGAAATCAGGCTGTCAGCCTCCCAAGCCTGAATATCTGCCTCAGGAAGCAGAGGAGGGGTGGGGCCTCAGGAGAGACGTCCACCCTGGCTGTTTGTGGAACTTTGTGTGGGGTAGAGTGGGGGAAGGGGGGAAACAAACTTCTTGGGGACTCTGGACCAGCCTCCTATCCTCAGAACTCAGCTCAGTGGGATAGGGGGAGGGATTTCAAGCTGGGGCTCCCTAGGCATGTGGTACAGCTTTCAAGGGGAGTCCTGCGCAATCTTCCTGCTGAGATGACTTCTGAGAAGTGGTTCAGTCAGAAGGGAAAGAGGTGGCTTTGAAGGACCCAGGGGATTAGGCAGGATGAGGATCCCCCCCCCCCAAGAAGACACTGGCAAATTCAAGCCATGGAGTGGAATATAAAAAACAAGAAACAACCCTGTTAATTAGGGTGCTGTTTCAGAGATCTGTGGGACCAGGGGAAGTCAACACTGAGTGCCAGCTCAATGAGTGCCACCTCAACATCACCTCAAGTCTTGACATTTCCTCTGTGGAAACTGATCAGAGTGGAGCCCTGATTGTTCAGGAGCAAACCACATCTGCTCCTGAGGGGGGATAGATTCACTTGGCAATAAATGGCTAGATAAATAGAAATAGTCAAATTCCAGGCACAGCTTGGGCTGGAGATGGTTTGACCTTCCTTCCTCACCCCACCCCTCCTCTTCCACCCCATCTCCCAATTTATGCTGGTACTGGACCTGGACATTATCTCTTAGCTTTTCCATTCAAGACTGATGCTCTACCATGTGAGCCATAACTCCATCTCAACTTCCAGACATTTTTTGGGGGGGAATGGTTAGAGATAAGAATCTCACAGACTTTCTTGCTAGGGCTGGATTTGAACAGTGTTCTTCAGATCTTCAGATCTCTCCTGAGTAGCCAGGATTACTGGTGTGAACCACTAATGCCTACTTGAGCCCTTATTTAAAAAGGAAAGAAAGAAAAAACCAACAGTCAAAAATCTAAGCTCTGGATTGGGAGGAGTGTTTAGTGTTAGGGGAGGAGGGAAATATGCAGGAGAGAGCCAAAGAAACGCCGAGGAATCATTCTTTTTTTTTCACTCTCGCCCATTTGCTGAGGATTTCTGCAAGAGGAGGTGAGGAAGGGATGCCTGTCTCTCCCACAGGGGCGAGGGGTAGGGGGTGGGCTTCAGGATCATCAGCTCCCCCTTGCCTGTTGGGCGGGGCAGGAGTAGCTGGAGTTGGGGATGGGAGGAACTCTCTGGGGTTAGGGTGGAGGGGAGGGGCCCCTTCTGTTAGGATTTGAATTAGCCAATCAGCATTGACTGTGCCCCTTCCTCCCTCCTTTTTCTCCCTCCTTTCCCTGTCTACACCAGCAGCTGCAGCGCTGAGCTCATCTGCTGGCTCTGCCTGTGCAGGACATCTCTGGCCACCACCCTTTGTCCCAACATGTTGGGGTGTTCTGGAGTATTTTTGAGAGGTCTTCAGGATGCGGCTTCCCCCAGCATTGCCCAGGCCTGCTTGTTGGGCTCACTTGATAGACTCAGTTGGGGATGCCTGGACTGGATCCCTGGATCCCTAGAGACTCTCCAGACTTGCTTTGCCAGCTTCTTTGTTGGCTCTCCACCTGACTGGTCCCTACCACATGTGGCCTCAGTTTCCCCATTTCGGGGGCTTAGCTTAACTGAATCTTAAAGGTTTTTGCCCTCTATTAATTATATTGGGTGGCTACGCTTTTAGTAAGGGCTGTTATGAATGAAAAGTCAGGCTTTGGTCTCCCATTTCTAGTCTACCCCACCCCCTGACTCACTCTGCTGGCACCCATGTCTAGGCAGACATCCTCTGCAGGGCCCTCTGTCCATCAAGAGGAAGGCAGGGGCCAGTGGGCAGAGACTTGCTTGCTGTGTGACCTTAGGTAAGCTTCTTCACATCTCTGAGCTTCCCCCTGAGGAAACTGGAGATATGACTAGTTCTTTCCTCTAGAAACTTTTTTTTTTGCCTGCCCTAGGGCTTGAACCCAGAGCCTGGGTGCTGTCCCTGAGCCTCTTTGTGTTCAAGGCTAGCACTCTACCATTTGAGCCACGTACCACTTTTAGCTTTTCTGTGTAGTTTTTTTTTTTTTGGATAAGAGTCTCATGGACTTTCCTGCCCAGGCTGGCTTCCAACCTTTATCAACTCAGATTTCAGCTTCCTGAGTAGCTAGGATTACACCGACACTCGGCAGCTCTAGAGACTTTTGTGAATAGAAAATGGAATAATTTAAATGAAAAGATGCTAAGTGGTGCCCAGGAACTGAGCATGTGTTGGCAGGTGCCAGGTCCCAAGGCTCTGGGGGTCCAAATTATCATCTGCACTGGCCCCTATGGCAGTCCCCAGGACCTGTCAGTAGTACTTTCCCTTTCTTGGGCACAGGCATTTCTGGGGAAAATGCCCTGGTCTTGGCTTTAGTTCTTAGGTGTTCTGTGCAATCTGCTTCTCTGCACAATCTGCCCCTCTCTTCTGCCTCAGTTTCCTCATCTGTGAAATAGAGGTAACACTCCCATCATTGTGGCATTCTTGGAGATTTTGGCCACCCACAGGCCAGAATAGAATGCCTTCTGACTGAGGGGTGCGCCTTAGCAAGAGTTCCCGTCCCTTTCCCTGAGGGTCAGGGTAACAGAGACATTGAAACCTGAGGCCCAGCAGCCCAGGGGCGAATGTGCCAGGGAGCTGGGGGCTACATGCAGTTGACTGTTAGGCTGGAGCCAGGCCCCAGCACTATAAACCATGACTTCATGGCTGAGCGCATTTGTTTGTGCTTTGGGGATTTGCTCTGGTTTCCGGAAGCTGCAGCTGCCTCACCCCTCCTGGTATCCCCGCCCCCCCCTAGTCTGGGGGTAGCTGAAAGGGATCAAATGAGACAGGCACATGGAGTCTTCAAGTGCCTGGCATACTGAGTCAGGACTTCTGTTGGGACTTCTTATTTAAACTTTTATTGGTGGTAGCAGTATCAATATGTATTCAAGCTTCTCCCTATTGCAGCATCAGTTTGAGAGCAAGACTTTAGACCGATTAGACTTTAGACCTGATTTCTAATCTTGGTTTCATACCATCTAGCAAGTGTGACCTTGGGTAAATGGCCTTTCCTTTCTGAGCCTCAGACTGGGGATAATGACAGGGCTTCTTTAGGGGATGGAAAGCATGGAGCCCTGAGGATTAGGCAAGCCCATCCTCTAGCTCCAGCTACCCTGTCTGTCTGTCTGTCAGCAATACTGCTTTTTGCTCTTTTGGCCTCCCTTGGGGTTACCAGACATTGGAGGGGGGGCGTCTAAGCTTGTATACTTTTTTGTCTATGTTGTAATTTTTTTCTGTTTTAAGTTTGCAAGCTAAGTTGGTGGGCTCTCTTTTTTGTGGGGTACAGTACTTAGGTTTGAACTCAGAGCCCCATACTTGCTAGGTAAATACTCTCTTGCTAAGCCACCCCTCCAGTGCTGTTTTACACAAGTTATTATTATTATTTTTTGTCAGTAATGGGGCTTGAACTCTGGGCCTGGGTGCTAACCCTTAGCTCTTCAGCTCAAGGCTAGCACTCTACCACTTGAGCCACAGAGCCACTTCTGGTTTTCTGGTGGTTTATTAGAAATCAGCGTTTTATGGTCTTTCCTGCCTGGGCTGGCTTTGAACCATGATCCTCAGATCTCAGCCTCCTATGCACAGGGTATTTTTGAGATGGAGGCTTCTTCTTGCCATGGTACGTGCCTGGACTATGATCTATTTTAGGACTCCTGTTGTAGTAGGGATGACAGGCGCATACCACCGAGCCCAGCTTCTTCCACTGAGAAAGAGTTTCATGGTCTTTTCTGCCTGCAGCCACGATCCTCCCAATCTCAGCTTCCCTGGTAGCTAATATTATAGGCATGAATCATCTGTACCTGGCTAGGATAGGTTTCCTTGACATACCATCCTGGGAGTGAGGAGGGATTCCATGGGAGCAGAAGGGGAAAAGACCCAGCAACTCATTGACTCATGGGAATCAAGTGGCCTCCCCAGGTGGAAGCTGTGGTGGAGATGGGGCATCTCCCAGCTGGACTGAAGCTTGTCTGAAGCTGTTCAAGGTTGGGATAGTTTGGAACAAGTTGGGAAAGGAACCTTGGCCTCAGCAGCCCACCCTGGACATTGATTGGTGGGCAGTGGAAGGGAGGTGCAACTTTCCATACACACCTAGTTCCTTGTTCCTTTATCTCCCTTTCCCTTGTTTCAGTCTGATTTGTTCATCCATTGTGAGCACAGGCATGATGTGGTGCCCTGATTTCTTTTTTTTTGGGTCCGGTCGTGGGGCCTGAACTCTGGGCCTGGGCACAGTCCCTCAGCTCTTCAGCTCAAGGCTAGCACTCTACCACTTGAGCCACAGCACCACTTCCGGCTTTTTTTTCTGCTTATGTGGTGCTGAGGAATCGAACCCAGGGCCTCAGGCATGCAAGGCAAGTGCTCTACCACTGAGCTACCTTCCCAGCCCTGGTGCCCTGATTTCTATACCTCACCACCCTTGTACTTCCCCCCCCCCCCCACTCCCTGCCCAAGTAAGATGAAAGAAAGAGTGAGGGGCTTCCTGGTTGACTTACTAGCCCCCAAACAGGGACCATAGCTGGAAGCTAAATGTGTCCTACAAAGCAATCATCTTGGCAGTGCATCAAAAAATCCTGTGTTGATGCTACCTTGAACTTGTGTCCTTTCAGCAACTCTGCGTGGATCTGAAGTATTTTACAAAATCAAAACCAGGTTGGCCAAGTTCATGAAAATATAAAGTAAACTTCTACAGTTCATTAAATAGGACTCATTGTTTAAAATAATAGTAATGAATAAAAAGCCTTGTATTTTATGAGTACCTTCTCTGTTCCAGCCACCACTCCAGCATTAGGTCATTTATTCCTTCCAGCAGCCCTTGTGAGAAGATTGTGTCAACCCTCTACTAAATGCTAAACAACTTGTCCTAGCTCACAGCTCATACCTAGTTTTCTACCCTGTCATGTCCTTTGCTGATACTGAGACATTGCTCACCCTTTTTCATGAACAAGGGAACGTTGGTGGCCTGCCGTGGTCATTGCAGTTGAAGAGGCTCATAGATCCTGAACTGTCCTTCTGGCTGTCCTTAGAGACCTTCAGGCCAGAGGGACAGGGGGAGTAGAAGGAAGGGAGGTAATACCAAGTTTCCTTTCTGGCTGTTGTTTTTTCTGGCCTGCCCTGTACCCTGTACACTGCCAAAGGTTCTGTGCTGAGCTGGGCTTGTGCCCAGGCAGAGGGCAGAACCAGGGAGAGCCCTGTTTGTTCTCTTTTGGAGAGAGGCGGTACCACAGCCATTTCTGATCCTGGAAGCATGGCACTGGGCTGGGTACCCCACACAGAGGTCGTGCTGCTAAAGCCTTCAAGACCCTCAGAGGAATCTGACTCCACTGGTTCCTTCAAATCCCTGGGGCTCCCAGTTTAGCTCAGCCTGCCCTTAGCAGTGTGTGACCCTGAGCATGTCACTTCCTCAAAGCAGCAGTCCTTGTCAGTAACCTGGGCTGGGACAGATTGGGGATAGAGATGAATGAATCCTAACACCCTGTAGATATTCAACAATTGGCATTACCTGACCCACTCAGGGTTGAAGTCTACTTGCAATTTATCAGCTCAGAGGGGCTGTCCTCATTTTTCCTTCCCACATAACCAGCATGGAACAGGACAGAGGGTGTCCTTCAGGAAATGGGGTGCTGTTGCTAGTTCATCCTGGATTGGAGATTACTGCTCTGTTAGCTCTTTTTTGTAGGGATGAGTTGGACGCTTGCCCAGCCTTTGTCATTCCAGGCGTGTTCTATTTCCCAGACAATTGGAAACAGTCCTGGGGGTTACTGTGACCTCCAGCAAGTCCTGCTCCCTCACCCTCAGCTCCTGGGAGCAGCAGCCAATGCTCACTCGGCACTCAGTGTGGTAGGCACCGAGCCCAAGCTTGTGTCTGTGAACTGATTTGATCTTTCTGTGAGGTTGGTCCTGGTGTTGCGGTGCCCATTTATAGCTGAGGAAACTGAGGCACAGAGCTGGGGAGTGGTTTGTCCAGGGTCATGTGTTGCTCATCTTGCTCTGGGCTTCTACTCCAGCCTATGCCATCCTCAAGATGAACCCAGGCCCCACCTGAGGACAGAGCCAGAGGGTGGCAGGGCAAGGTTTGGGGACCATTAAATGCCACATATAAATAAGTAATTTCTTAGACCAGACAGGACTATTATAGCTTTAGGGTACCTGGAGGGTGCTCAGATTTGGGCTTTGAATTTGCCACCTTCTGAATGCAAGACTCTTAGGCCCCCTTTGTGCCTCAGTTTCCTCATCTGCTAATTGGGGATGATGAGATAAGAATGGCCTGCATCTGATTGCTCTGTAGGTAAAGCAGGACAGTCAGCAGGACTTAAGTGTCCAAGCCAGTACCCTCCAGCCTGCTCATGGCCTTGTCCCCCCTACTGTGGTCCAGGTCTCTAAGGACATCTCCATGCGTCTGCACAAGGAGCTTGAGGTGGTGGAGAAGAAGCGGGCACGGCTGGAAGAGGAGAATGAGGATCTGCGGCAGCGACTCATTGAAACGGAGTTGGCCAAGCAGGTGCTGCAGACGGAGCTGGAGCGGCCCAGAGAGGTGAGGGCCACCGGCACAGTGGCCTGGGGCAGGCAGCAGGTGCAGCGTCACCTCACCGGAATCTCTCTGCTTGTGGGGCTGGAAGCTCTCTGCTATGCCTCCTTAACCTGTCCAGCATGCATTTCCTGAGCATATACTGCATATACTGAATTACACACTTCCTGAGTGTGACCCCTGTTACCACCCCCCTCCTCATCTTGGCTCAACCTGGCACATTCTCTCATGCTGTTAGGAATCTAGCATGTTCCATACTACATTATACAATAACTTTCTAGAAAGCCCATCAAGGTAGTGATACATTTTGTAAATGGGCAAACAGACCCCAAGAGAGTGGGATGGCCTCAAGGTCTTGTAGGCCCCAGGGGGTCTGCAGAATGCTGATGCTGATGGCAACACTTTGCCCTGGGTGACTCTTAGAGACTGGAATCTCTCCCCCGCCCCTTGCTCCCCCATTCCAGTCACCTGCATTCCAGATGGCTAGGTGGCCTCTAGCTCCAGAGGCACCTGGGAGCCTCAGCTGGTTGGCTGCTCACAAGCCATCCAAGGCTGGTACATTCTTCAGGGGCACCCAGCTGCTTCCCCACGGGGCCCCACATGTCAGCAATCCAAGTCGAATAAACCACAGCCCTGCAGACAGAACAGTCCTTCAGCTGCCCTTCCTGCTGGGTGTGTTGGTGTGATGTACCAGCACTTCTTGTGTCGAGAGGAGGATTTGCTACTGAAAAATGCTGTGCCACCCTGCCCTGCTTGACAGATGGGTGCAAGGCCCCTCGCTTCTCACAGCCACAGCCTGCCCATAGTAGTACCTAGTAGCACAGGTGTGGTGTGATGTCATCTTCACACTATCTTATTACTGCTACCTCCATCACCTCATTATGAAAAGGGGGAGACTCACTTTCAGAAAGTACTTCAGGAAGTGGCACTGTGGCTTAAGTGGTAGAGTGCTTGCCTTGAGCAAAAGAAACTCAGGACAGTGCCCAGGCCCACAGTTCAAGCCCCAGGACTGGCAAAAAAATAAAAAATATTCTATGGCTGGAAATGTGGCTTAATGGTAGAGTGCTTGCCTAGCATTCATGAAACACTGGGTTCGATTCCTCAGTACCATATAAACAGAAAAAGCCACAAGTGGTGCTGTGGCTCAAGTGGTAGAGTGCTAGCCTTGAGCAAATAAGCTCAGGGACAGTGCCCAGGCCCTGTGTTGAAGCCCCAGGACTGGCCAATAAAAAGGGAAGGAAGGAAGGAAGAAGAGAGAGAAAGAGAGAGAGAAAGAAAGAAAGGAAGAAAGAAAGGAAAGAAAGAAAGGAAGGAAGGAAGAAAGAAAGAGAAGGAAAAAGAAAGAAAGAGAAAACCTTAGAGCCAGGCACTGGTGGCTCATCCCTGAAAGCCTAGCTACTAGAAGCTGAGATCTGAGAATCATGGTTCAAAGCTAGCCTGGGCAGGAAGGTACATGGTACATTAACCACCAGAAAACTGGAAGTGGCATTGTGGCTTTAAGTGGTAGAGCACTAGCCTTGAGCAAAAAGCTCAGGGATGGCACCAGGCCCTGAGTTCAAGCCCCACAACTGACAAAAGAAAGAAAAGTACCTTAGAGCTCAGCCTGTTTTAGTTGTGCAGAGGGAAACTAAGGAAGAAAAGTGAAAAGAGGAGAACAGCTTGCAAGTTCAGCCTTAGCAGTGGAGACATGGCTATGACCCTCTCCCAAGTATCAGTTGCTACTTCTGTGATGCCAACATACAAGCAGTAGCCAGTTTATGAGGTGACTTCAGATCATTAATTAGATTGAATAACCAAGCCAGATGTCAGTTGTTCATCCTGTAATTCTAGCTGCTCAGGAGGCTGAGATCTGAGGATCAAGATTTGAAGCCTACCTGGGCAGGACAGTCCATGAAATTTTTTTGTTTGTTTGTTTTTTGTGGGTCGTAGGGCTTGAACTCTGAGCCTGAGCACTGTCCCTCAGCTCAAGGCTAGTGCTCTACCACTTGAGCTACAGTACCACTTCTGGTTTTCTAGTAGTTTATTGGAGATAAGAGTCTCACAGACTTTCCTGCCTGGGCTGGCTTTGAACTGTGATTCTCAGATCTCAGCCTCCTGAGTAGCTAGGATTATAAGCATGAGCCACCAGCGTGCAGCTGAAATTCTTTTTTTGGGGGGGGGTTCTGGACGTGGGGCCTGAACTCTGGACCTGAGCACTGTCCCTCAGCTCTTCAGCTCAAGGCTAGCACTCTACCACTTGAGCCACAGCACCACTTCCGGCTTTTTGCTTTTTGCTTATGTAGTGCTTAGGAATCGAACCCAGGGCCTCATGCATGCAAGGCAAGCGCTCTACTACTGAGGCACCTTCCCAGCCCCCGGCTGAAATTCTTAACTACAGTTAATCACCATAAAGAAAAAGAAGCTGGAAGTGGTGCTATGGCTCAAGAGGTAGAGCACCAACATTGAGCAAAAATACTAAAGCACACACACAAAAGAATATGATGATATGATAGTGTCTCAAAAAAATCCATCAATTCTGATTCTACATATAAACCCTACATAATTGAAAATGGGATGTTTTAAACCTAAAGTTTATAGAAGTAGACTTATTCACAATACCTCAAATGTAACCCAATGTCTATCAATAGATAAGCAGGCAAGCAAAGTAAGGTTTTCTGTAGAATGGAACAGTGTTCAACCTGTAGAAGGAATAAAGTAGCAAGGCATACTCAAACATAGGTGAGATGGGCATGCCAAGTGAGTAAGCCAGCCAGATGGACAAATTCTTCATAGTCTACTTGTATGAGATACCTAGTGTAGGCAAATTCAGAGAGACAGAAGTAGACTAAGTGGTTTCTGGGCTAGGTGGGGAGGGAGTGAGGAATGGTTGTTTAATAGGCCATAGTTGAGAAGATGAAAGGGTTTTGGAGACAGGTTGTAGCTATAATTGCACATTATGAATGTACTAAGTTCCACTGAGCCGTATACTTAAAAATGGCTAAGGTTGGAGGTCGTAGAGTATGTGCTTAGCATGCGCTAAAAACAAAACCAAAAAGTTAAAATAGTAAATTTCAGCTGGGTGCTGGTGGCTCATGCCTGTAATCCTAGCTACTCAGGAGGCTGAGATCTGAGAATCATGGTTCCTGGGCAGGAAAGTCTGTGAGACTCTTATCTCCAGTTAATCACCAGAAAACCGGAAGTGTCACTGTGGCTCAAATGGTAAAGTGCTTGCTTGCCTTGAGCTGAAGAGCTGAGCCCAGGCCCAGAGTTCAAGCCTCACAGCCAACAACAACAAAATTAATGTTATGTGTGTTTTACCATAATAAGAAAATAAAGATGGTTAAAATGATACATATTATATTAGGTTTTTTTTGTTTGTTTTTGTTTTTTGTCAATTGTGGAGCCTGAACTCTGGGCCTGGGTGCTGTCCCTCAGCTCTTCAGAGCAAGGCTAGCACTCTACCACTTGAGCCAAGCACCATTTCCAGCTTTTTCTGCTTATGTGGTGCTGAGGAATCGAACCAGGGCCTCATGCATGCAAGGCAAGCACTCTACCACTGAGCCACCTTCCCAGCCCCTTGTTGTTGTTGTTGTTTGGTGTGTATGTGCCAGTACTGACTCAGGGCCTCAGGTCCTTGCTTTGTTTCCCTCTTCCTACTCAAGGCTGGCATTTGAGCTCAACCCCTACTTTTGGTTTTTTGGTGGTAAATTGGACGTTAATAGTCTCAGATTTTTCTACCTGAAGGCTGGCTTTGAGCCTCAATCCTTAGATCTCAGCCTCCTGAGTAGTTAATGCCCTTTTTTAAGGTGATAAATAGCCAGGTACCAGTGCCTCACACCTATAATTCTAACTGCTCAGGAGGCTGAGATCTGAGGATCACTATTCGAAGACAGTCCAGGCAGAAAAGCCTGTGAGACTCTTATCTCTAATAAACCATTCAGAAAAAGCTGGAAGTGGTGTGTGGCTCAAGTGGTAGAGCACTATCCTTGAGCACAAAGACAGAACAGCATTCAGGCCAAGTTCAAGCCCTAGGACCAGCAAAAAAAAAAAAAAAAAAAAAGTGGACATATATGTGCCAGTGTGGAAAGATCCCCAAGGTATATAATAAATCAGGAAAAGGAAGCTATAGAACTGCATATATTGTGTGAACTGCTACATACAACAGAGCCAGAGTGAGTTTTGTTGTTGCTTTTTGTTTTGTTTTGTTTTGTTTTGTTTTGAGATAAGGTCTCACTGTGTGCCCAGGTTGGCGTTGAACTCAGGATTTCCTGTTCCAGTCTTTTGAGTTCTTGGATTGCAGGCATATTACCACCATACCTAACATTGGTACCAGAGTAGATTTTGAAGCATGTATGCATAGCAAAAGTCGTCAGAAGGCTTACTGTATGGGGAGTTAGAAATAGTGAGAATCTCTGGGTGCTAGTGGCTCACGCCTATAATCCCTGCTACTCTGGAGGCTAAGATCTGATGATCAAGATTCAAAACCAGGACTGGGAATGAGGCTCAGTCGTAGAGTGCTTGCCTTGCATAAATGAGGCCCTGGATTCAATTCCTTAGCACCACATATACAGAAAAAGCCAGAAGTGGTTCTGTGGCTTAAGTGGTAGGGTGCTACCTTGAGCTGAAGAGCTGAAGGACAGCGATCCCAGGCCTAGAGTTCGAGCCCCATGACGGACAAAAAATTTTTTTTTCAAAGCCATCCCTATTAATCAGCAAAAGCTGTAAGTTGAGGTGTGACTCAATTGGTAGAGCACCAGCCTTGAGCAGACAAATACTAAGTAAGAATGTAAACCCCAGTACTGGCACCAGAAAATAAAATAAATAAGTGGAAGTAAAGGTACTAAAAATGGTAGGAGTAAAGGAGAGAATAACTTCCACATTTTTTCTATTAATTTTGTAGTTAGGTTTTTTGTTTGTTTGGTTTTGTTTTGCTGGTGCTGGTTATAGAACCTTGGCCCTTGCTCTTGCTAGGCAACTATTCTACCACTAAGCTACACCATCAGACTAAGTTAGGATTGTTGTTTAAA